AAGGAGGGGGCTTTGTAGAAAACGAAGCGTTTGAGAGAGGCGGGGCATAGAGGACCTACAATAATGTACAGTATTTTAAAAATAATGTGTTTTTTGAACATTAAAGCATGTCAACATATTCTGTTACACCAAATACACAAAATAATGATCTTTAAAAAAGCATCATATAACCCCTTTAATGCAAATATAGCCTGTCATTTTAAAACAAAGAGGCAGTGATAGGAAAGCTACACAAAAAGTAGCTAACTAAAATACACACTACTCTATAGAAAAAAAAGAGAGTAAGATAGTATGCATATATGAGACAAGTAAAGTTACCTATCCAAGCTGCAAACAAGCACATCATCATGATAATAATGCACAATGTTTGTCCCTTAAACCTTGATTTACTAAAAAGAAGTGACTCAAATCATTCTTTCCCGATTCACTGAAAAGAACGGATTCAAAAGATTCTTGAATCAGATTCTAAACAGCCGACAGACTATACAGCCAGTACAAACATCTGTACTGCTGAAACAATAATGTTCATTAATGTTACTTAGTTACTTTTTTCTACTTGGATGCATTATTATTTTCGTTTCACATTACTTTTACATCATGTGGTTTGTTGTGGAAAGGTGTGTTCACCTTCTCCTGGCACACAACATGTAATTGCTGTCAGATAAAAATCTGCTTTGCATATTGCTGTTAGATTATAAAATGTCATACTCATAAATCTTGACATGGAGATTAAACCCCATTTACAGTCCACAACCAAAAGTAAAACCACAACGGAGTTGGAAATGGTTATGGTTTATGGCACTAACCAGGTGACACTCAACACAGATTAGATATTCATATGCAGATTGTGTACTTTATCTCTCCAAAATAATTTGCATAAATGCACATTTCAATTTCAGTCAGTGTCATGTTCAATGATATGAGCATACTACTTACTGAGTACTGTTTACTGCCTACTATATTAAAAACAAACCCTCAAGTGTGGCATTTTTTAATTTCATTGTGAATAAAAGTGTCTAAACTTATGGCAGTCCAATCAAATAATGAGTAACTAAAGAGTTTTTTAAAAATCGTTACTGATTTTCCTTCTGATTCTTTCATCACACATCAAATGGAAGGTCAAGTAGGACACACATTGCATTGTGGGATACATTATTCTGTGTAGTGTGCTTCTAATCTGATTTTTCCAAAATCTTTTCCGCATACAGAAACTTTGGATAGTGTGAATAGCATAGTATGACTAGCATTTTAGTATGATATTACATGCATAGCATAAAAATTAACACAGATTTTTGACAAATATGTGCAGTTTAGCCTTTTTCCCAGCAGGTAGCCTATGAGGAAAGCGGCTTAGAATGAAGTTTAGCAATGCACTTTGATTGCACAAGAGAAATGAGTTTGGATAGCAGCTTATTCTTGCTTTACGCTGTTTAAAGATAAAAATAGTTTTAATTGTTATGAATATAAATATAATTAGTATTCAGCAAGATATTGCCTCTAGGACAACACAATCGACGACCTCTCCCCCCCCGCCGCCTCCGGTCTTCGAGATCTCCACCCGGAACCGCTTCGCTCCCCTCCGCGAGACGGAACGCGACGCTGTGATCATCGGAGACTCCATCGTCCGGCACGTCCGTGCTACGTTAGAAAGCGCTATATAAATAAAGGTGACTTGACTTGACAATGAACTACTTGAAATGAACTTAAATAGGTCACAAAGCAGGAAGACGGTTTATGAGGTTAGAGTTTATCTTTATGAACCTGTGTGTCTTAAAAACAACAAAACATGCTTGTTTCTGATGCACAACCCAGCTGTTGTTATGAACGTAATGCACACACACTCACAGAGTGGCTTTAACCCTAACATTAACAGGAATGGAAAGCACTGAAACTCCTCAGGCCGATGCGCAGAAAGTCCCAAGAGCTTTACACGCTCACAAACACACACAAATGAAAGCACCTACACAAACCCTTACACAACACATCAGAAGCCAGCGAGGACTGAAGCCTCAGGCTAGAATCCAGGCAGACAGCTGGTCTGTGGAGACACTGAACATGCATGCCAGACTGGTCGATTTACACAACAAACGCACACTACTGTCCCTCCCTGTCCTGAAAATACAGTCATTGTAACACACCCACAATCAATAACACTCATGCAAAGCTATCGTATGACTTCAGAAGACTTGGAACATGATTTATGTTGCATTAAAACACTTTCACGCAATCAATAATCCAGCTTTTGAGCTCTATACAAGAAAATACAGGCTTGGGACAGCATGAGGGCAAGTATATGGTCACACGATCACTTTAATAAATGTAAAGTGTCATGGAATTTCACTAAGTGAGGGAAGCGTGGGAAGACTGCAGGTGACACATTGATGCATTGCTGTTGTTGTTCCTTGCATGAGCCACCAGTCAAGTCAAGTCACTGAGTCACATTTAATTACAGGAGTCATCACGTACAACGTCACGCGTTTCGGTTACGACACAAACAAGGAAATACTCTTATATTCTAAAGCTTATTACGCACGAAGACAAAGAAAGAATTTCGGACCAGAATTAATCTGCATGGTAGTTGAGTTGTTCACCAGCCAAATCTAGCTGGTTGATCAGCATGGTGAAGCTGGTTGACCAAGCAACGCTTTTCAACCAAAGATGAACTGGTAACATTTTACAATAAGGTCTCGTTTGTTAACACTATTTAATGCATGAACTATCATGAACTAACAATGAAAACTATTTTTACAGCATTAATTAACCTTTGTCGATGTTAGTTATTAAAAACGTTCATGTTAGTTCATACTACATTAACTTTTCATTTAAATAATGTATTAGTAACTGTTGAACTTTTAACTATTAAGAATAATAAATGCTATATAAGTATTGTTCATGTTAACTAATATGCTTAACTAATGTTAACAAACGAAACCTTATTGTAAAGTGTTACAGATTAACTAAATTTTAACTAATAGATATAACCATACTTTCACTAGTTGATTAGTCATAGTACGATTAAGACAATTGTTTTTGCATTACAAGCATTAAATATGCACTAATTTTGCAGAAAATTCCAAAATGGCAATTTAAAGGGGTCATATGATGCGATTTCAATTTTTCCTTTCTCTTTGGAGTGTTACAAGCTCTTGGTGCATAAAGAAGATCTGCAAAGTTGCAAAGACTAAAGTCTCAAATCCAAAGAGATATTCTTTATAAAAGTTAAGAGTCAGCCACGCCTACCTAAAACGGCTCGTTCTAACACGCCCCCACATATCTACGTCACGATGTGGGAAGATTTGCATAACGCCGCCCAAATGTTCACGCAAAGAAAGAAGGCGTAACTTTTATTCTCGCTGTAGTATTGTTGTTGCCGCCGCCGCCATGTCGTGAAGACGCTGTGTGTTTCGTTGTGAAAGCGAAACTACTTTGTTTGGCCTTCCAAAAGAGGACGATATCTGCTTCGTCATGCCTGGAGCTGATCCGTGCTGGTCGCTGAGGGAATACATCAACTTCGTGCTGTGGATCACCGGATCGGCTTTCACCGTGGACGAAGCAGAGTCCAGCCCGGGGTCGTCACATGTGGTTGCCGCAAGCCCGCCGGCCGCTCCTTCGTCGAATCCGCCGGCCGAACGACGAAACAGCCGCCGTGTTTCGTTGTGAAAGCGAAACTACTTTGTTTGGTCTTCCAAAAATGGACACGACTAGAAATCAGTGGTTAAGTTGTATTTACAACACTGTTCCAGAACACTTCAACCCAAATAGTCAGATGTGTGCAGCACATTTTATGGAGGACTGTTTACTGAGAATGAAGTCATTTTCTAAATTCTTGTTTCATTAGAGTTACAGAGAGAACAAAAAATACTGTCAACAGCTTAAAAAAATGCTTTTTACCAAGATTTTTGGGAATAAATTGTTATATAAATCAGTCTCCAACCTTTCTAACCTTCAGGATAAACATTGCAATAAATTGTATATGTAAGTGCTACTGAAGTGCATGAGAAAAATCTCTTTAAGAAAATGTCCTTTAAATATATTTATTACACGGCTCTGTGGAATACTTGATTCTGATTGGTCAGTCGCAACATTCCAAGGTATGCTATCCCTGGTTATTAGGTTATTACCATAGACATAATAAATACCTAGACACCTCATTGGCCACTCGACCGCACGTCAACGTCGCCGCCATATTGGTGAAGGCAACTCTCATATCGGGACAGGCGAAAACATACCTGACTCGTCGGCAGCTTGGGCATCTACAAACCGTCGCACAATAATAAAAACAGACCTCGGGGTATTATCTTTCACAGGTAAGACTGAACAGTTGTTTCTGTATGTTTTTTGGTCATTTTTAGCTTTATGTTGACAGCTTAATTAGCCACCAGTGTCAGACTATTAATAGCTAGCGATATCGCTAGTAAGCTGTGAAAGCTGAGACATTATATAAAATCAAAGTTTAAATGAATTCTAAGTTTTAAGATTAAGAATAAGTTTTAACTTTATATTGTAGTTTATATCATAAAGTAAATTGTGTTATGAGCACAATATGTACAGTGAGCACTTTGACAAGACAATGCCAGACTGTCAGGATTAGGGATGGAGCTAAATCATCTCTCTTTAATTTCACTAACGTTACTTATTTAAAATTAATAATTTTCCAAACCTAACTAAATAACTGGAGGCAGAGTTATTTTTAACTCCATGTAGATCACAAACCTCTGAAATCGGTTGATAAATGTAAACGTTATCGTGTTTTTATCCAGAAAAAACCGCAGCTCCTCCGTTTACCTCCATTTATTTTTAAGGCAGTCTTGCCTTCACAAACATGGCGAACACGTTGACGTATCGCTGCAACGGCTCAAAGCGGTCAATGAGGCGTCTAGGTATTTATTATGTCTATGGTTATTACACGGCTCTGTGGAATACTTGATTCTGATTGGTCAGTCGCGACATTACGAGGTATGCTATATCTTTACAATATATTTTGAACATGTTTTTTTTATTAAAAAATATATAAATTGATACAAATGTAAAAAAATATATATTGATACCTTTTTAGAAAATATTAAGAATATTTTTTTCTCATTTCTACTGATATATTTGGCTGTGTTGTATATTTATATAAAATGAATTTAAAAATATATATTTTGGACATATTTTGATTTACATTATTAAATATATTCAAAACATATATTTAAGAAATTAACATATTTTCCTAATTTCAATGAATATGTCTTAAGCTGTTTTTTTGTTTGTTTTTTTGGTATGTTTATATAAAATATTATAAATGTATATTTGGACATATTTTGATTTAAAATGAATCCCAAAATATATTAACATATATGAATGTATATTCTTGATTCCTCCTGATATATTTTTGACAGCATTTTGTATATTTTAACATAAAATACATCATATTTTGCTTTATGGGAACTAATAATGCTAATGCTGCCACTCAAACTTTTATGATGAGAAAATTCACTGTGGTCTAGGCAAATGTTGATAAACATATTTGCCCTGTTGGCCGCATAGGTTGCCCCACAAACACACACCTCTCGCTTGCCTTCATGATGTCCTCAATGTTGGAGAACAGGAAGTGCATGTCAGACTGACTCAAGGTGTTGACAAGCAGAGGGTTTCGCAGAAAGTGGGTCTCCAGCAGCTCCAGGCTTTTGTAGTATGACGCCTCAGAGGTCACCAGTTCAAACATGGCCTACAGAAAGAGACAGAGACACGTTCAGATAACATGCACTGCTATTGCTGAGTGTTTTTGCTGTTAGCACATACCGTTCAAAAGTTTATACTCTAGTCGATTCAAAGCATGTGTCTCACCTCCTGCAGTATGGTCTCCTTTGGCTCTAGTGTCTTCAGTAGTCCACTGTCTTTCACAGCCTCCAGGTTTTGCCAGAGGCTCAGTGAATGCATGCTGTTCCTCAGCTGCAGCTGCAATGCAGGCGCAGCCGTGACCCCTGACCCTGCAGTCGGAAGCCCATCTCTCTGTCGACGCTGCTCGATCTCCTGCTGCTTAGAGGTGTCACGGTACTCTTGATACAAAACATCTGGACACAAACACAATTAACAGCACAGAATGATGATTCGGAAGGACACTATTTTCACACATTTAGATATTTTAGCACATATGACAGTATAGAAGTTAAAAGCGCTCTATAGTAAATGCATGTTTCTCCTTCACGTTTCTAAACATCCAATATGGCAGCATGAGCCTCTTACGAATTGACTGAGTTCAATGTAAGTTATATATATATATATATATATATATATAGCTGATCACCCTGTCGGGGTTTATTCTGAGATAACAACCGGCTAGACGTACATTATCCCTTAGGTATTGTAACTGAAATCTACTAACTGAAAATAAACACTGTTTTTTGGATGTTTTCTAAACACTATTCTTAAAGACGACACATTATGTAAGCAAAATAGCCCAAAATCTCAAAATTGGTAATAGGTCAGAAATTTTCTTACAGTATCCGTCGGTAGTTCTTCTCCTGGTACGCCTGGTTGATGACGTAGCTGATGAAGACTTGGAAGTGGTTAACAGCGTGAAAATGAACGATGTCGCACACGTCTGAGATCAGGATGGACTCTTCGATCCTGTGCTCCAGATCCATGAGGAACCTGAGGAAAATATGAGGTCATCGCCGTTAGACATCAAGATTATGGCTGTGTCACATTTTGTATATGCAATTAAGACATGTAGTTCAATGGCATTGGGGAAAGTACATACTGTTTACATTTGCATGTACTGTAAGTGTTAGCATCTAGTTAAATATATGCACATTAAACAAACTAAACCGAAAAAGCTTGCATGGGCAATAACTTCGAAGATCCACTAGCTTTAGTATACATCTGGCCAATTTTGTTTAGTGCCACTAGTGATGCAGAAACTAAACATTTCTCTTTCCAGAAACTTTAGCTTGAGCTCATTAGCTTAACTGTGCACCAACAATACAAACACATCTTATGTAAGAAAGAAACTCAAATCAATCTTGTAATCCAATGTTCTTCACTGTTCGAGAGCAGGTTTGGAAGGGCCGAGCTCCTCCTGACTCATGCGCGTGAATCATCGCATTAGTGGGTGGATTTGCATGCTATAAAGCTACTGACTGGAATCAAATCACACCAACACTTTAATTTTAGCCTGTGGGCAATAATGGGTATCAGGGTGAAGGGGAGGAAGTTTCACTTCTGAAATATGATTGAAGCAAGATTATGTGAAGTTTATTAATATTAACCGTTATGTGAGACAAAACAAGTTTAAACTACATTAAAACAGTTAGAAGACTATTTATTGGATTAGTAAAGGCAGATGACATAATACGTGACTACACATAGAAAAAGCAACTATTTTTTTAAAAATGTATTTAAAAAATATATTTAAAATATAAATGAGTAAACTAATAAATATTAATTAATTAATAATAAATACATTACTAATATTTAAAATAGATATATTTTAGAAAATATTATAAATACATTTTCTCCTGGCATATTTTTTTATATATGTAAATTTTATTTTTAAAATACAAAAATGTGAGGGGTATACTCACTTCTGTGAGATACTGTATATAAACGTATTAATATTTTAAATCAGCTTTTGTTTTATATGTAATCTCAGTTTTCATTTTTATTTTTTATTAGTTTCTTAAGGCTACGTTCAGTTCAGAACCATGATCTGTTCACACTGGAAATCTGATATTGGCCACATTTAAAACAACAATGTGAACAGCTATACAAAAAAATCGTAATTACGCACTAAGGCTTGCAGTGTGAATGTAGTTATTTTTTTAAATATACACTGCCAGTCAAAAGTTTTTGGACAGTAAGATTTTTAATGTTTTTTTTAAATAATTCTCTTCTGCTCACCAAGCCTTCTTTTTTTTAATCCAAAATAGAAAAACAGTAATATTATGAAATATTTTTACTATTTAAAATAACTGCTTTCTATTTGAATATATTTTAAAATGTAATTTATTCCTGTGATGACAATGCTAAATTTTCAGCATCATATTACTCCACTCTTCAGTGTCACACGATCCTTCAGAAATCATTCTAATATGCTGATTTGCTGTTCATGAACCATTTGTTATTATTATTATTATCAATATTTAAAACAGTTGAGTATATTTTTTTAAGGATTCTTTGATGAAGAAAGATCCAAAGATCAGCATTTATCTGAAATAAAAAGCTTTTGTAACATTACACACTATACAATTCAAAAGCTTGGAGTCTTTTTATTTATAAAAATATATTTATAAATAAATAGCTCAAATCATACTAAAAATGTATTTTCCTGAGTAAACCGAAGGCTGGATATGACTGGATTATTTATCTCATGTGAGTTTTTAATTTTAGCAGTCGAGCATAACTCAGTCAGCAGAAATGCATCTGTCACAACAGCCCTTTGAACCTCTCTGACAAAGTTGTGCAAGTTTACTGCAGGCTCCTCGAGCCCTGAAAACATCAACTGTGTGAGCTGCGGATCAGGACTGACCTCACATTCACTCAGTCTTTCTTTACCTGTCTGAGCGTCTACATGATAACAGCATGTGCATACTGCATATATGTGTGTGTCGGCTTCTCAAAAGAGTGACTTTGTACAGAGGAAAGCAGTTGCATAATGTCCTGTCACATTCAACAAGACCTTCAGGTGGGTGTTCAGCACAGTCTCTTATATAACAGAGCGTGAGAAGAGAAGAGAAGAGAAGAGAAGAGAAGAGAAGAGAAGAGAAGAGAAGAGAAGAGAAGAGAAGAGAAGAGAAGAGAAGAGAAGAAGGAGAAGGAGAAGAGAAGAGACTAGATGAAGAAATGATAATAGATGAAAAGAGGTCAGATGAGTGAGAAGAGACGCTGATAAACTTGGAGAAGAGATAATAAATGTCAAATAACGATAGAATAATGATAGAAATTATAAATAGGTATAGCTAAATTTCCATTCTTATACATATATTATGAATGTGCATTCCTGATTTCTTCTCAAAAAGTTTTGCGTTTTGTATAATTAAATAGAATATATTTTTTTAAATATATTTTGGACATAAATTTCATTTTAAAATAAATTACTGTATCTGTATTTCCAAAACAGATATATTTAACATATAAATATTTATTCATTATTTCTACTGGTATATTTTTGGCTTCTTTTCGTATACTTACATAAAATTAATTTTTTTTATATTTTGAACATACACTAATTTAAATTAGTAAATATATTCAAAACAAATATATTGAATTTATATTATGAGTATATACTACTGATTGCTCCTAGTGTATATACATACACACACACATATACATACATATATATATATATACATATACATATATATTTATACATATATATATATATATATATTGCATAAAATGTGTTTTTTAAATATATTTTGATGCACTTTTTAAATTAAAATACATGACTAAATATAGGCATTTTAACAATTATTATAAAAATATATTTCTGATTTCTCATTTTTGACAGTTTTTATACATTTACATAAAATTTATTTTTAAAATATGTTTGTTACTTACATTTTAATTAAAAATTTATATAAATTATTGAATATATTTTAAATAGATACATTTTAACTTATTAGGAATATATTCCTGATTTCTCTCTCGCTTTAAATTTTTAAATAAAACACATAATTTTGCTGTACAGGAACTGATGCAGCCACTCAAATGATGAGAAATCAAGGTGATGAGGGAAAAAAATGATAATAGACAAGACATGACAACAGATGAGACGAGACAAATAAAATAGATGAGAAGAGAAAAGAAGAGATGATACATGAGAGATGAGAAGAGATGAGAAACAAGAAAATGGACCAATAAATGCAACAAAATGAGAGGCGATGAGCAAAGAAATGAAAAGAGCATACAATGGAGAAACAGAAGAAGAAATAAGATGTTGACAGAAGAAGCTACAAAAGAAAGAGGAGGAGAACAGAGGAAGTGGAAATAAGTGAAGAAAAGAGAGACTTGGATGCAGATACAGGAGAGAGAGAAATAGACAGATGATGAGGGAAATACAGATGATATAAAATGATGTTGCGTTGGCAAAGAAAGCGGATAACTCTCTCTTGCTGTTATTCCAGCATATATTTAAAAAGACATCTCCCACACACTCCACCTGCCTTCATCCTACACACACTAACACACACTCGCGTCTCGTACACATCCAGCACATCCATGCTGTAAATTCAACTGCAAATAAAGTTGCCTACACGGTTCAACTTGAGGCACATAAATTAGCATGCATTGTTACAGCACATCGGTCTCCCTCTCTTCCTGCGTGTGTATTTTGTTCACTCACCGACACTCTTCACAATGTTGAGATTGCGGCAGGAATTCTCTACTGCCATCTTCTGCGGACTGTCACCATTCCTCACCAGCCTGAAAGAGAGAAAAAAAAACTAATAATCAGTGACTAGCAGAGATAAGAGGAAATGTGTGTGTGTGTGTGTGTATCAAAATGAGAACATGTCAGCCCGCTCTCAAAACACCCTACAGCTGTTTTAAGTCCTACTTATGTTTCTAAATGAGGGGAATATTGGTTCCTCACATTTTAATTCCCATTTAGCTTTATTACATTTTAACCCTGATAGACCTAAATAAGCCAAATCCATCAGCAGAGTCGTGTGAGTATTATTTGAGTCATACAGCACATGTGCCCACATGCAAAACGACAAAACTGAACATACTGTACAAGCTAATGTAAGTGCATAAATAAGCTATATACATGCAACTATGCATATATCAAAAATATTGCATGCATATAAATATATATTGAAGCATGGGTAGATAAATGACATTTTAAGCAGTAACAGCAGATTTTTGCATAATTATGGTACAATTATTGACAGTTTTATGAGATCATATTAATTGAGAGACTATTTTTTACTTTTAAAAACTTATTTGTCACACAGTAGGACAGTTTACTGTAAATAAACTGAAAAAAGGGATTATTAAAAATTTTGAAAAATGTGCTTATTCCCATATCCATATTTATTTTAAGCTAAAAATGCATAAATGTATGAATATTTAATTATAGATAGATAGATGGATAGATGCATTGTTTAGGTATACTGTA